TGTGGCGGCCGCTTCCCCGGCTCTCCGCTTCCAGCCTCTCCCTGCGTCTTCCCAGTCCAAGGGCCCCCGGGAGCCCCCGGGGGCGCCCGCAGCGCCCTCCTCCGCCCCGCCTGCAAGGCCCGGAGACGCCTGTTCCCAGGAATGAAGGAGCTGCCTCTGCACCCCGTCGCCACGCAGCTGACGCCCAGGTGAGGGGCTTCTGAGAGCCGTTCTGGGGGCCCGGCTGGCTGTGTGTCCGCAAGGGTAGACGGCGCAGAGAGGGAGGCCCTTTGGCTGTAGAGGGCCTTGCACCATTCTGCAGGGCTGTTTGTTGGCTCAGCAGGTCTGGGAGAAGGACCATCTCCTCCCACACCCGAGGACAATGCTGCCTGCAGCGCAGCCGCCCGGAGACCTCAGGTTCTGCTTGGGCCCTGCTCTGCGCACAAGGCACCCAGGCACTGTCATGGCCCTGACCTTTGCTTCCAGCCTCAGCTCAGCACTTGTGGAAAACGCCAGCCCGCCCCCAGCACCCTACCACTGGACCCCTCGTCTCCCACATTGCAATGAGGACGGAATCAGTTTGCTTCGGGCCCTAGACTCTGCAAACTCTTGGCAAACGTCTGACCGCGGACTCTTCCTGAGGCTGGCCCTAGTCCCTTTCGGGGGGTCTGGAAAACAGCTGGACGTGAACCAAACAAAGCACTGGGCACCGTGACCACGTACCCCCCATTTGGTTCATGACTTGGTTAGCAAGTAGTTAGGTTTGGGAGTTAGGGTTGTGCACCCCCCTCCCCCCAAAGACCAACTCTTTCCCATTCATTGCTTCCTGTCTATTTGTAAGATAATGCCCCATGCATGTTCAAAGTTCCCAATTCTAAGTCTCTTTTGTGTTGTTCTAGGATCCTGAGTATATGTTGTACATTGTTGCTAATGTATAGAAATAATTTGTTTCTTCTATTGATCTGACATCGGGGAGAGAATTATTGGATTTCTATAGTGTTTCCTGGGCAGATTCTCTTGGTTGATTATGAAATAATATTTTTTATTTTGACACTTATTTTTTTTTCTTAGTTTTTTATACTGGGTTTTCTTTGAAATCCAGGTTGAACTGTATAATTGATAGCAATATTCCTGTCTTAAGCCTCGTGTTAATGCTTTGGAATTTCACCATAGAGTGTGATCTTTACTGAACGTGATTGTCAATAACCCTTGTCCTACCGAAGAAATTAGTTTATGCCCAAGCAAAAAGGTTGGTTCTGTGCTCATTTTGTTTTTCCCAGCTATGTGACTACACAGACTTGTCAGATTATTTCAAGGTTGGCATTTAATTGTGAATGTATATCAAAAAGGTGTGTGGAGTCTTTGGGCCATTTCTGTGTGTGGAACCCTGGCCCAAGAGGAAACCAAACCAGTGTGGAGCTTCAGGGATTTAGAGGGAAATGAGCTTCAGGGATGACATGACTGTAGCATCACCTTCAGATTGTCACTATTAAGAAATGGTTTTCTCGTTGTACCAATGTGACTGTGGTTTGGTTTTGAATCGATTCCTGTGGGAATTTGGACGGTTTACACTTCTAGCCACTGAGTATCTTCACATTTCAGTGATTCCATTTTCTAGGAAGGATTCTACTTGTAGTCTTGATTGTTTGGGGTTTCATGTTTGTTTGCAGGTTGGGTTAATGTTTTACACAGCATTGCTAATTTGTCATGTCCCTTCTTTGGCCAAGTTTGTATTATATTTCATGAAAAATAAATTATTACTGGTAAACAAGATGTTGTTTGTTGAACAGTAACAATTATTATTTAGATTTACTGACATACGTTATCAGTTTCTTTGCCCATTTTCTGTTCTTGCTTTTTGTGTCTTAATTTCCTCTGTATCTCCTGTCCTACTGAGGTGTGCTTTCTAAGAATCCTTTCATCTATGGCCTGTGTGGCAAATCTGACTCCTTTAAAGATAGTCCTGTATTCCTTTCCCTGCCATTCTAGTAGTGCACATTCAAAGTCTGCCATTGCTGCTGTCTTTTCCTTGTATGAGATGAGGCTGTTGGCTTTCTTGACTTTGATGTTCTACAGTTCAGTTGGATGTGTTCAGTGCTAGAAATGCTGTCTGCTGCGACCTGTGACCTTTCACATCTTGAGAACTAAGCCTTTCAAATTTCATTTTAAACAAGAGTCAGTTTCTCTTGTACATTGCACCCCTCTCCAATCTCCAGAACTGCTGAGAGAACAAGTGATGCTATTCAATCAAGGCCCTGCCACGTCGCTCAGTACACATATGATGTTCTGTACCCTTCATCATAATATACTATTGTTGCCTGTTTTCAAAATTCTGCTTATGTTCTTTATATATATAAGTTTGAAAGCAAGGGGCGGACATTGTGCCTCAGCAGGTTAAATGGTGGCATGAGACACTGCATCCCATTTGATGTCACTTGGAGTCCCAGCTATGCCACTTCTTTTTATTTTTTATTTTATTTCATTTTTTTAGACAGAGTTAGTGAGAGAGAGAGACAGACAGAGAGAAAGGTCTTCCTTTTTCCGTTGATTCACCCCCAAAGTGGCCACTATGGCCAGCGTGCTGTGCTGATCCAAACCATGAGCCAGGTGCTTCCTCCTGGTCTCACATGTGGGTGCAGGGCCCAACTGCCTGAGCCATCCTCCACTGTACTCCCAGGCCACAGCAGAGAGCTGGACTGGAAGAGATGCAACCGGGACAGAATTCGGCACCCTGACCGGGACTACAACCCGGGGCGCCTGTATCACAGGTGGAGGATTAGCCTAGTGAGCCGCGGCGCCAGCCTCTGCATATGTTCTCTATAAGACAGCTTTTGTGGTGCTCATGGACTTTACCACTCAGAAATCACAGCTGTCATCCTCAAGCAATCACCTGAGTACACCAGTTTCCAGTGTGAGTGAGGCAGTGATGCAGGGATGGACGGCCCCTCGGCCCACCCATCAGCACTGCTGGGAGTGTCAGCTGACTCAGCTGGGTGGTTCCCCAGGAATGATCTCTGCCTCCATCGGTAGTGCACTTCAGTGACTGCTCCATTAGCAAGTAGCTCAGCCAGCCCGCATCCTTCAAGTTAAAAGGACTCTGAGCTGTGAGTTGGATGAGGCCTTTGTTACAGCAGCATCCCAGTTCAGCTTCTCTATCTGCCTGGCCATATAGTCTCCATTCTCCCAAAGTCCTGCTTGTGTATCTCCATCTTCCCAGATGGGCCAGGAGTTGACTTAGGAAAGCAGTTAATATAATGGACTTTGAATAGCCCGTGACATGCTGCAGCAATGTGGATAAGCTCTGAATCCTTGGTGAACTTACTGGGACACTGGTGGCAGGAAATACACTGACATTCGCAGTATCCTGGGCATTGGGAAAATGTGGAGCACAAAATCATTACAAGAGCTAATATGTAGAAAGAGTTTGGGGTGAAAGGGTTGTTCTAGGATAGTCAGTGCACTTATGAAACAGAGTGATTAATTGCCAATCAAACCTTAATATGAGATCCAAAAAGGCCCTTGGCTGCATACAGATAGACTTTCCTGTCCCAGGCTAATGGTGGGGTGAGTGAGGGGATACTGTGGGTCTGACCCAGGATTTATTGTAGGACAGTGGAGTATAAGAAAAGGTTAAAGTTCTCAAACACGTGTGTAATGCTGAGGTCACAGCCCTGATTGGCCCTGACACTGGAAGAAAACCAGGTAGATAGATTTCAGAATCTTAAATCTGCAGGTGCCTCCCAATCTCTTGGCTACAAAAGTGGCCCCCTCCTCTGTATACCTCTCTAAGATGATAGAGAATGGGCTGGCATTGTGGCACAAGGGGGTTAAGCCACTGCTTGCAACAACAACATCCCATATCAGAGCACAGTGTGAGTCCTGGCAACTCTGCTTATCATCCACCTCCCTGCTAATATACCTGGGAAAACAGCAGATGATGGCCCACACACTTGGGCCCTTGCCACCCAATCAGAGAACCAGAAGAAGTTCCAGGTTATTGGCTTTGGCCTGCCCCAGCCTTGGCATGGCGGCCAGTTGGATTGAACCAGAAAATGGAAGATCTTTCTATCAGTCTCTCCCTCTCTTTCTGTTGCTCTACATTTCATATAAATAATTCAGAAATCTCTGCCTAGAAAGACAACGTACACCCACCACAAGATCTGCTCTCACAGCCTCTCTTTGCCATAATGCAAGTACCTCAAGCACAAATTGCCCAGGTAGGTACATCCTAAGGAAGGGGTCTCTACATATCCTCGAAGAGATGCACGAATCACCCAACATAAACCAGTAGAAGTCAAGTGTACAACCGAGGATGCGGGATGTCAACCTGCAGAAGGGACAGCTGGGAATTTAGAAGCATTCTCCCCAATATAGGATTTGACTGGTTTGGTTTGTACATCTCTTACATATTGCATATTTGGCTTCAAGGAGAGATTCTTTGGAGAGAGCTGCTGCTGTGCCATAGTGGGTAAAGCTGTCACCTGTGGTGCAAGCATCCCACATGGGTTCTGGTTCAATCTAGGCTGCTCCTCTTCTGATCCAGCTCTCTACTATGGCCTGGGAAAACAGTAGAAGATGGCTCAGGTGCTTGGGCCCCTGCCCCTGTGTGAGAGACCCAGAAGAAGCTCCTGGCTCCTGACTCCGGGCTTTGGATTGCCCAGTCCCATTCATTATGGCCATGGGGGATTGAACCAGTGATGGAAAACCTTTCTCTCTATTTTTCCCTTTCTCTGTCAGTATACCTCTCAAAAAATACATAAATATATTTTTCAAAAAGCACTAAAAAGCAAAACAAAAAGATTCTTTGTCAAAAGCTAATGAGCACTGGACAAACAAGATGGATTCATTTCCCCATTAAATTGTGCATCCTGGTCCTACATCGAGATCTCCTCTGTGCCTTCCCCTTCTATCCTCTCTTCCCACACCTCTGATGACTCCTTCCCCTGTTCCTCCTTACCCATACCCTCTACTCTTTCCACCAGCTCTCCCAAGAACCTAAAATGCCATTTACCTCGAAATGTTGATTCCCTTATGTGCCAGGTTTTCAGGAAACGGTTATAGAATTTAAACCTTACACTCAAGATTAATCAAGAATAGCAAGTCTTCTAAATCCAGGCAAGAACACCAAATATTCATGGATGAGATTAGAATTCCTTTGGGTAAATATGATCTAGGATTACCTGACATTTCAACTCATCCACATACTGGACTGAATCACAGGTGCTAAATCCTGGAGGGCAAAACCTGATGGGACTTCCTCAGCAGGAAATCTACAGCATCTTTCTCTCCATAAACCTGGGGCTCAACAACAGTCTGAAAAGTCTCCTAAAATCCATACCCAAAACATTTTAATAACAATGCACATGCTACTGCTAATAAACTTAGTGTCGCTACCTTTAATTGGACTCTTCCCTAGATGAACATACGACACAGATGGTAGTACCATTTTGAAAAGATTTATTTTTTATTTGAAAGGCACAATTTTAGAGAGAGAAAGAATGGGAGATCATCCATCCTCTGGTTCGCCCTCTAAATGGCCTCCACAGCCAAGACTGAGCCAGTCTGAAGGTAGGACCCAGGAGCTTTTTCCAGGTCTCTCATGGGTGCAGGGGACCAAGGACCTGGACCATCCTCCGCTGCTTTCCCAGGCACATAATAGGGAGATAGATTGGAAGTGGAGCAGACAGAAATTGAACCAGGGCCCATGTGGGATGCCGCATCCCAGGCATTAGCTTAATCCACTGTGCCACAACACCAGCCCCCATGTTTTCCCCTATTGCTCAGCCTTTAACTGCCACCCTTGGTTGACTAAAAATACTCCTCTCTGCTTTCTGGTAACACACCCTCAAGTGAGTAGGAGACTGATGCGCACATGGAAATTTAACAGCACAAGCTCCCCAGTGGGACTATTTCATGAGTTTCAGAGGATTTTTCTACT